CCCCCAAAACCCCAAAACCCCAAAACCCCGCACTAAGTTACAGTAGTTGAAATTTGACTGGTTTATAGCCCAGACAAGAAGAATTGGATGATTGCAAAGCTGAGAGAAGCCAGTCCTGTATAGACTGAAGTTAGGAGTTCATTTGAAGCTGTAAAGCCCAATAGTTTTAGAGGTTGAGTCTCTTTTTGATACTCGAGATCTTGAATTACCATGTCAATCTGATCTAAAGCTTTTTCCACAAATCTATCATTTTTGTAAACATCTCCTCAAGTTCTTAGCATTTTCGAAAGTAACTGTCTGGATTCTCACTTTGAGAAATCTTTTCTGAGGTATGTATTAAGATCGCTCTTAACCTCATATAATAACTTCTTTATCTTGATCAGTTCCCCTTTGTGGGAATCAAATCAAGCATTAACTTGAGCTCCAGTTCTGAGCATTTTGAATAGTACTCAAAGAATGAATAAAACATCATATGTTCCTGTGACAGAGACAGCTATTGGAAGACTATAGGAGAATACTCCAAAGACTCTCATTAGTAGGAACCCAAGAAATGCCAAATTGAAGGCAAGGAACACAGAGCAGTATAAAAAGATTCTGTATGTATACTTCTTACCTACATCTAAACAAGCCTCTCTCAGAATCATCCAAGATTTCAGATTCTTATGGCAGCATAAATTAATAGTAGGAAAATATGAGGAAAGTATAAAATTCTTGTCTTTATCAATAGAGATCAGAGATTTGAGAACCTTCATTAAGAATAGCTTCCTTTTGAAGTCGACCAGTCCAGCTATCACAAAAATTAAATTTGCTTTATAAATATAGAGCAAAGTACCTAAATACCATATTGTTATAAGGTATTCATACCAGTGAAAGACGAATGAGCGATTATTTTCAAAATATTGGCAGACAACTTGAAGCAGTATCCTGATGATTACAACTCATAGCGCATATCTTGGAACGCCATGATGCACAGAGTCTAACATTAGCATCTCTCTAAGCACTGATTGAGCTTTATAGCTTGGGTTACAAGAAGGAGTGTTTTCTTCATCGATACTTGATAAGAACTCTTTTTCGAAATCAAACTTGTCCGTTTGTCTGTTTCCATCAGCACTGCTTTGCTTAAAAACTCGGTGGATCATATCAAGATTCTCACCAACGAAAGAAGATTTCTTTGACTTCCTCATTTGATGCACCTTTATGGCACTTTTGATTTTACACTTGTAATCTTTTTCGTTAAACCCTTCGTCTAGATAATAGTCAAGATTTCACAGTTTTAAGTGAAGATCTAAAGGAAGGGATTCAACAAAGTTGAAGTTCCACTCTTCATCCAGTATTTTTATCCTGTGTTTTGTTGCATTGACTTGTTCTCTCAGTGAAGAAGGAGACATCTTTAACCATCCGAATAGTAGCAAATCTTGAGAAATCCAAGAAAAATTTGTCTTAGATTTGTACAGTTTGTATCTGGCTCTTGACATGAAGCCATATCTCACTGCTATTACAAAGCTTCTGGCTGTCACTATATAAACCAGAAATCCTATCTCATAGTATGTAAGTCCTTTGGTTGGAAAACATGCTACAATACTTATGAAGCCGACTCAGAGTATCTGAACAACATATTGAGGAAGCACTATTCTCCAATTCATTCCAATAAACCCCAAATTTCTGGTAAACTGGTAGCCTTCGATCAGCATGATTATTAGAGCTCCGAATATTCCGATGCTAAAGAAAAGGAGGTGATAGATCATTATCTTGGCTGCTCTTAGGAAGCTGAATTCTATATTACATTCTTTATTTTCAGCAATCTGCTTTACATCCAACTTTTTAAAGACTTGTTTGGATTTGTTCTCAGATTCCTTTTTATAACTTCGTAGGATTCAGGCGCTGAGTTGGGAATTATTTTTGAGCATACTGGTTCTTCTTTTGGTAGCGTTCGCTAAATCTTCTGGAAAAGTCCTATTCCCAACCTTCTGTTGCTGGTTAAAAGATTCTGTATTGGAGAGTACCATTGGAGGATCCCTTTTCGCTAAATTGTTGTCACCAATTTGCCACGAGTCTTTATTTTCTTCGAAGTGTTCATTTCAATTATTACTAGGAAGTAAAGTAAAAATTTTGACAAATTAAGTATTCACCAAATTTTTAAGATTCTCTGATGTTAAAATCTAGTGACTCCCCGAATAATAAATTATAGTCAAGCAGGATTAAGAGTGAAAATTTCACAAAGGAAAGGGCCACTAACATCCCACTAGGGGATAAAAATAAGATTGTTCATGACAAGCATTGACCTTACTTTTGATTAAAGAATTCTTTGTCACCTTTAGCATTTCTAAATGAATCTGTACTCATTCTCTAGACGAAGTTTAGCCCTTAAAATTGCTGGAAAAGAATAAAGGAATGACAAATTGGTGTTTACGCTTACTGAATGTGAATTTTAAATTATATAAACTTAAATACTATTTAAATGGTAGGGGTTTTGGGGTTTTGGGGTTTTGGGGTTTTGGGG